CACCAGCGCATGCAGCCTTAGGAATACATGCGCAGAACAGTCTCAGATAGCCTGGAAACAGAAGGTGTCTGTAGTGGCAAACATCGAAACATGGTTGAGTAATATAGACCAAATGCCACAGACAGTCCAGGAGTCGTTCTCTGTCTACCGGCAGGACCGAAATCAGGTATATTCAGGAGGAGAAGTGGCAATTCTGATTAGAAGAGGCACAAACCATGTAAAATCAGAGATCACTCTCTGCACGAGAAATGTGCAGTTGTGCACGGTAACCCTAATACTCAACAATAGAAGGGTCAACGTAGTATGTGTTCATCGTGCACCAAGCACAAACCGTGAGGAAGATAGCCAACTGCTGTGTGCCCTCACGAGGATAGTAAAGGAAGCTAACAAAGCTATCATTTTTGGTGACTTCAACCCACCACATATAGACTGGAGGTCTGAGGTATGCATCCGAAGAACAGTAGAAGAGGACTATACCAAATGGCTGTATGAAAACGCCTATGGCAACATGTTAGGGAAAGCACTAGATTCAGGTCAGGTAATGCTCTGTCCCAGATAGATCTAGTGATCACCACAAACAAAAATGATATCATGGCGCTACAGTTGCACCCACCGCTTGGTAAAAGCGACCACGTCATCCTATCGATTAAAGTGTGCATGGGGCAAGCTAGGGGACCATCCAAGCTCATTAGAAATTTTGGTTGTATGGATCTAGGAAATCTTAGAAACAGGACATCGGATTGGTTAAGGATGCTCTGGAAGGGGCTAGTGTAGAAGAGCACTGGATGTTTATTAAGGAGGCCCCCGTATATCTACAGAATGAATATGCTCCATTGAGACTCAGCCGACGTGACGACCAGCCGTTTTGGTGGAGGGCAGCCATAGCCAGGATCATCAAACAACGAAATAGGTACTGGAGGAGCTTTAGATCTTTCGGAAATCAACAGGCGTGGGTTAGGTATAGAAGGTGCAGAAATGAGGCGGTTAGGCTAATACGAGAAACAAAACGGCAACATGAGCTTCAGCTGGCCCAATTCGCCAAAATCAAACTAAAGACATAATAAAGCTACGTTCAGTCCAAAGGAGCACTAAGAGAGGGTATAGGGCCATTAAATATAGGTGCTGCAGCAGTCGTGATGGACGACCAGGGTTAGGCAGATGTGCAGTGGTTCTTCAACCGACAGTTTTGCAACGGCAGTTTGCTTTTCTTCCCTCTTGTTTTTCTCCAAGTTCCCTGATAGATCCATTCAAGCTGGTCGTGATTATCAGATCACGTACCAGAAACCCTTTCACCCTACACTGGTGATTAGCAACAGGACGGGTTCAGTTTCCAACCCGTCATGCATAATTGAGGATTATCAAATCATAACCGTGGCATATTTATCAGAACCATCAAGGTTTAGATATCAAGCAGCTATTTAGCCTCTCAATCAGGTAGCTAAAACTACCGCTATGGTTTTTCCTTCGTACTTAAGAACCCTTCTCCACCGAACACAATTAAGTGTGTCGTCGAGATTTAGCATTTATCGCCATTAGTTGGCGATAGCTATCTTCCGGGGACAGTTTCTTTATTGGATATAGCAACTTGGATATTTCCAAGATTAGGTCTTGCTTTCACTATTATCGTTCTTTTAATGAACTCGAAAAGCGTACACCGACACAATTCCCCACGGTGAGCTCTGTATCAAACGCTTTCGTTGCACTGATCAGATCTACTATCAGGTTTCTGCTGCCGTTGCTTAAATAACAGCCTAAGCCTAGCCAAACCTACTTCCAACCCTTTGGAAGATTCCGAACATCTTTTTCCATAAACCCAATTCTTGGTTCTGTTTCCTCTTGGGACAGATATTCAAAACGAACGTGTGAAAACATTAGTGACAGGTTCTGATGAAAATCAGCGTCCGTCGAGTCACTAAAGATGCTGGCTATTTTGGCAGTGTACACCGAACGGATGACAGGCTGCCGAGAACCTTGGAGTTAGGAACATCCTCGCCAGAAATTGGGGAGCTTCAGTTATCGGAAGAAATAGTGCGGCAGCACTTGGAGGGCCTAAACGTCCATAAAGCGGCTGGACCAGAATAGATCCATCCTGCTATGATCAAGCCCATACCTGACATCTTCGCAGGACCGGTGTATAAGTTATTCAAAGCTTCAATAGATCAGGATGTCCTACCGAGGGCCTGGAATGTAGCAGCGATGGTAGCCATACATAAAAGGGGAGCCCGAACAGAGTTAGGTAACTACAGATCAGTTAGTCTAACCAGTATCTTGTGTAAGGTGCTAGAAATATTATTCGCATCCATATATACCAGCACCTAACGCAGCATTCTATGCTGTGTCCAACTCAACACGGGTTTCTCAAAGGTAGATCCTGCTTGACTAATCTACTGTGCTTCTTGGAAGAAGTTAGCAGAAGATTGGATGAGGGACACAGAGTAGATGTGTGTTATCTTGACTTTAGCAAGGCGTTTGACTCGGTTAATCAACGCCTGTTATTGGTCAAAATAGAGGCGTTCGGTTTAAGGGGACAAATCCATCAATGGCTGAGAGGCTTCGTCACAAACAGGACCTTCTAGGACAAAGTAGGTGACAAGTGGTCCTGTACAGCATTTGTCACAAGTGGTGTACCTCAGGGCTCCGTGCTAGGTCCGTTGTTGTTCCTGCTTTCGTAAACGACCTTGCTGCGCTGCTGACATCGCCCACCTTTTTCTTCGCCGACGATGCCAAGGTGGTTGGATCTGAAGGAAGAGAGTACCTAAAAAGAGACATAACTGCTGTCCTTAGCTGGGCGCAGAAGTGGGTTTTGCCGCTGAATGCTGACAAAAGCCAGTTGCTATCGCGGACTGACGGAAGCTTGACAGTAGTGCAAGACCAGGGTCCGTTCACGATAGAACCGGTTGGTAAGGTGAAGGACCTGGGTATTGTCGTAACCTCCGATTTCCGCTGGGCCCAGCAGTGTGTAGCAGCCGCGAATAAGGCTAGCAGAGAACTCTTTAGATTGTGGTAAGCATTGTCTTGCAGAAAACCGGAGGTGTTCGTGCCTCTGTACAAAGCTATAGTTAGACATCACCTCGAGTACTGTGTGCAGGCATGGTCACCCCTCTTCAAAAAAGATGCCGCCTGTTTAGAGCGCGTTCAGCGACTGGCAACGAAAATGGTTGGGGGTCAGCGAGGTAAAGGCTACAATCAAAGGCTTCAGGACCTGGAACTATTCTCTTTAGAAAAGAGAAGGCTTAGGCGAGATACGAAGTACTTAAGATAATGAAAGGTTTGTCTTGTATTAGACTAGAAATCCTGTTCCAGGAAGCACTAGATTCTCGTACAAGGGGGCATGAAATGAAGCTAGCCAAGGCCCGGTCTCGACTGATAGCCCAGTCATACTTCTTCAGCAACAGGGTAGTCAACATTTGGAACAGACTACCTGTGGAGCTAGTAGAACTGCAGAAGGTACTAGCATTTAAGGCGGCCCTGGACGAACAGTGATGTGAACTTGTTCCTGAAGTGGAGGTCTGAAAAACTAGCGACTTGAGAAAATGAGAGGGTTAGAAGCGGCTCACTCAGGTTGCCTGTTTTTGTTTTCGCTCTGCTATGTATTGAAATTGAGTCTGGAAGACGAACGCTCACGTGTAACAATCTATCGCCTCGGAGGTTAGATGAGGCATACTTCACTTTTTCTTTTCAGCCAGGAAGTACGGACTACTTTTAGAAATGCTGGGTGTCATACTTGACCGCATATAACCGAAGGATTTCTAGAAGCTCGGTTGGCCGTGGCCATTTTCTGTCCTGTGCAAACCGAACTGAACTGAACTGACATAATACGGCAATCTATTCCACAAAGGCTACACCCGGTTTGTGAAGAACCAGGCCCTCAACCCGGAGCGCTCGCTTGGTAGCTAACGGCTACAATGCCACAACGATCGACTTATCATTCCGCCTCCGCTGTGAAACAAGACCTGCAAGGGACCACTGAGGGGTGGAAAAGATGAAGTCGTTGGCACGACAGATGTGTTGGTGGCCCGGTCTAGATGAAGACATTGGTCGAACTGCTAAGAACTGCGAGGCATGCCTACAAAAGCAGAAGTCTAAAACGAAGAATTGGGTCCCATGGCCAGAAAGCTGTATTTCATGGCAACGTGTGCACGCTGATTTCTGCGGACCATTTATCGGTCATTATCAAGCATTAGCGTTTATCGATTCGTACTCAAAATGGCCTAAAGTATTTCTAACGAGCACACCATTTACATCGTTTGTGATGCGGGTACTACGAAAGTGTTTCAGTCGAGAGGGTGTTCCTCAAGTGCTGATGACTAAAAATGGGTCGCAATTATGCGCTGCTGAGTTGAAAACGTGGCTGGACAGTATTGGATGCCGACATCTGCGCACAGCACCACGTCACCCCTGCTCGAACGGCGCAGCAGAAAATTTGGTGAAAACAGTGGAGAGTGCCATTTCCTCTGCAAATCCAAGGACAATTGTAGAGTTGGAGATACTCCTAGACAACTTCCTACTGCAATACCGGAATGCTGCACATGCTACCACCAAAGAAAGCCCAGCAAAACTGTTCAAAGCCAGAAGCTTACTGTCCTCACTGCGATGTGTGTATTCGAGTGACGTCGTATACTTCCGAGGAAACGAATTGAGACCATCAAGAGGAATCATTACCCGCAAGGTTGGCCAAGGTGTGGCTGAGATCGCTCATCTGGTAGATGAGATGGTTCATCGACGCCACATCAACCAAATTCACTTCAACCAACTTACACTTTGAAAGAAGCTCCTGTCGAAGAAATTCAAGGAAGTCCGAATGGGGCCGTCGACACCCACTGAAGATGAAAGGCAAAAGCCCCCTATTCCGGGAATTCTTACCAATGAGAATACCCTACTGTATCTCATGTTGGATTTTTGAAATTCCTTCTAAACCCATGACCATTTATGGTGACATATCTCTATGTGTGTGTTGCTTCTCGATTGACATTTCTCAGTCACAAACACCATACATTATCCTTTATCTGTTAATTCTATGCCGGCATATTTGAATTTGGCGTGATCAGAGAACGTGAGCCACTGTTTGGCTCTCTTTGGACATCATATTTGGTTTGCTTACTTGAGTGCTTTTGGCTGCATATTTGAGGTTTGCTTTATTGTACATTTTTTAATGTTTTTGCTGATTCAGTACCGTATTACATTACGGATCAATCGTGTTTTATTTCGGGATTCGTATCGGTTTCGAATACGCGTCACTCAAGTGCGAATTGGTTGACGTACACCCACTGGCCCTCCGACGACCAATGAGAAGAGCGAGCCAATTAGACGAGAGTTGTGGTGATCCAGGCCTACATGATGGCGCCTACCCTGAAGCGGCGCGTTACAGTTTCAGGACATTTGAGATCAATGAATTTTGAATGCTGACGTCAATGACACGTGCATGGCTTTTGAATACACGTCATTGGTGGATGGTGCCAGCTAATCCAAGACAATGCAGACAGAAGCAAGATTATGCAAGAAGTATTGCAATCCGATTGGCGGAAGCCTAGACAGCCAATAATCTCCCTTTGTACATATTATTTAATCGCCCTCCTTTCTTTCAATAAACGAACTACTGCTTGCTACCATTCCTGTGGCCTTTTCCTCGCGTCTCGTTCTCGTGGGACATTGCAAACCCGTGCTATTGTAGTCCAGTGCTTCTGTGATCCATTCCGTGATAGCTAGTTCTTGATTCGTGTCTAGTGATTCCTACAGCGTGGTTTGCATTCCAAAGTCCGTGCGTATTACTACGACTATTACAACTATTACAAATTGGCTTCACGTGATGGAGCTTGCAACGATTGATCAACTGAATCTGCAAGCAAGTCCATCCGCGATCGAGGATTGGGTCGAACGTTACGAGCTGTGGTGCAGTATTCGCAAGGGTGGTGCACAGAATCAAACAGCCCTATTTCTTACTGCTGACGTCCGTGATCTGAACTTCCTGTTGACAAACCTGGCGTTCCCTGAGGCTCCGGCTAAACTTCCATACGAGTTCCTGAAATCTCTGCTGCTCAACCACCTGCTGCCCACTAAATTCCAAGCACATGAAAGGGCCAAATTCAACTCCATGATCCGTACCAATCATGTTTCCTGTCGTGAATTCATCCTGCAACTGAACAAACAAGCATCACGCTGCAACTATGGTGATCGCCTGGAAGAACAAATGTGTGACCGCTTGGTGGCAGTCATCAATAATCTGACTCTTCAACGAAGTTTGCTGGATAAGAAAGATTCGACTTTTGCCGATGCCCGGAAGATCTGTGAGCAACACGACGACATACTGAAAGGTAATTCCAGTAAATCAGTCACATTATTTCAACGGCAGAAGACACGACCGAACCTACCCCTAATGGCCAAATGTATACTGAAGCCGAAACAAAACTCTTCAAGCAACGAGAAACGTATTCCCTGTTTTTCATGTGGAGCTTACCATTTGCTCACCGACTGCCGATTCCGAAATGCCAAGTGTCATGCATGCGATCCAGTGCTTCTGTAATCCATTCCGTGATAGCTAGTCCTTGATTCGTGTCTAGTGATTCCTACAGCGTGGTTTGCATTCCAATGTCTATGCGTATCAGTACAACTAATACAATTATTACAGGTCCGCTGTCTAAAGAGTGCGTCCCTTGCATTATTCGCAGCCACCTGATATTGCCTTGTATCCCGGAAGTCGTTTGTGACAATTTTTCCTTGATCCTTTAACTCCATCGATCGTCGTAGCGCTGCGACCCGTTTGAGTTCACATTGGTAGTCAGAAGCTGACACTTGACAAGATTCATGGGTAAATCCTATCTAGCCGACCAGCTGCGACTTGCATCTAGGTCCTGATTTCAGTTCTCACTCACTTACTTTCGTCCGCAAAGATGAAGCGGGGAGTGTGCAATTCTAGCGCGAGATCGCTGATGAAAAGAAAGGGCCCAAGAGCAGGGTCCCGTGAAGTATTGAACGGGTTCCAGGTTAAGCCCAACGGTCCCGGATCTTGGTTTGTCAGTTTTTGATTGATGGGTAATGCCCGCTGACGAGAGTGTTTGAGCAGGGCCGACTAGTGAATGGGATTCAGATGGGGAGTAGGTAATTGAAAGGAAGAATCTGAAAGGGAAGGTGGGAGGGGAGGTGGGCAATATCCGCTTGCGGTGCACAAATATGCGCATCCGGATAGTGAATACATTTTCACATGCACGTAAGTAAAATTGACATAATGCACGCCTAGAGATACGACGAAAGTTTATGACAAGTCGCCTCTAAATTTTTTTCATTTTTTATGTTTGCGTTTTCATTTTTGCATGTACAAAAAATAGATCATCATCACAAATTATGACTCAATGCAGTTGGGGTAAATGCATTTAAAACGAGAACGCGGTGGATGGAGAAAAAATGAACAGATCGAGGAGCAACTAATGGGAGTTAGTGATGGCCTGTTTAAGACCAAGGAATATATCGCGATTGTGTTTGAACATGCTCTCTGAAGGTGCGTCAACAACCTTTTGCGGAAGGCTGTTACATAATGGAATGACTCCATGGGTTAAGAACCAGTGACGAACCTGGGTGTGAGGCCGTGGCGTGAACAGCCTTTTGCTGTGACCACGAAGAGTATCTAAGCTACATGGGGTGAAAAACTGGTTGATGTTGGAGAATAAGTGACAAAGAAGAAAAAGGTCCGTTCGAATGCGGCTGGTGTTTAGTTCAGTGTGTTGAGACGGATGGGGTATGGGACATGGAAGAGACCTGAGACTAGCTTTGTGGCCGCTCGCTGTACACATTTGTGGGAGTAACGACCATCCACAAGCCAAGAACACGCGATTTGGTCTCCGTATTCTAATTGCGGTCTTACATCAGTGCCATAAAAGAGTTGAAAGTCTTCATTATCAAAGCGAGGGAAGGAACACTTTATAAACATGATGTGATGTGTGACACTGACCTCGAAATTCCTTGTACACTTTAAATGCATTGAATATGCATAGTATACGATTCGAATAAAGTTCGTGTGCTATTCGATTCGAAGTTGTTCTATTTCGGGGATTGGTATTGCGCGAATTCTGGAATCCCATTTTGAATACTATTCCAAATACTACACATGAGTACCCCCAAAAGCCTTATTTCGGGTTTTTTGATGGTGGCAAGAAAAAAACAGAGTTACTTAACCAGAGGCCAAAGATCTTATGCCGGTTGACAGCCTGAAGTCGGGATCCGTTGCACACATTGAAAGGTAGGAGTCCCAATTGTCAGGGTTTCTAAAAACGATCGATTTTTAAATGAATTTTAGAAAAAGCAATATCGAATTTATCCAAAATGGAACAGATTTCGCTTTTGGCTGATTCTGAGTAAAATGTTCAAACCTAATTTGTTTTAATTAACCTTAATTAACTTTGTACGAAAAGTATAAATAACGCAACCTAATAGCGATGATCAATTCAACGTTCATATCAACATGGCTCCTGTTGACGAAACTGTCGTTTTTTGAAAGAAGGGTAAAAAATTGCTATGGATCGCTGGACGGATTCTTGGAGGAATTCCATAAATTCCAAAGAGATACTTGCATTTCCTTCTAGATTTATGCGTTAATGACAGCCGAACAACTGATACAAGAAAGAAAGTTTGCTCGGAAACTGAATGTGCCTGAGGGTTTTCGTACTTTTCATCAAATATTACTGTGTACATCACAGAATCTGCGACGCAACTGAAACCAGGTAATTAGGCCTCTCATTCCTAATGTATTGAACCCGTTTTGGGCTGCAATATATGAATTGTCCGGATTTCGTTGGATTTCGCGCAATCGAGAGGGAGTACCGGGTACTGAAACATTGGCTGGCGCATAACCATGATTTCATTGTTGGTCAGCGCGGTCTGCATACCTGTAATCGTCGTCTATCGTAAGAATGGGAAGAGGAAGTGTGTACTTTGATGGACAATTTTAGATGTACTCGCGATCTAAGGGATTTTGCCGCACACAAGTTCCAGAGACCCTTAACTACGGCAGATATAAGACCTATACGTCGAAGAAGGTTTCAGTTGGATTCACCTGGCGATGCGATGAAAGTTCCGCATATGCTGGAGAATCATGGAAAGGTTAGGAAGTTAGGTTCGTTCGTCACATTTATTTCTTTTCTAAGATTATGTTGCACTGCGTCGCCAGGTTTAATGATGTTTTGTTAGCCAAACATCAGCCAAACTGTGGTGGGTACGTGCTTTGGCATGCTATGCTTGTAGGCGACAACGGTTTAGGTAGAAGTTTCTTCTAAGCTATCTTTCCGAATGGGAGCGGTGAGAGCTATAGATCTGCTTTGAGCTCGTTTTAAAATTTTACTATGGAACACTTCGAAAGCTGACAAAAGGTCAGTTTTACTTCGTATTCGTCGATGATCTTAGGCTGAAAGTTTAAGAATAGTATTTAGAATAGCTTTTGACAGTTATATGGAAGGTGCCGTTCTTATAGATTTAGTATGGGTACATTTCCCTCCCGAGAACTCCTTCATACATATCAACCAATAATTATTTTATTATTTTATGTGAAATAAATTTTCCTTCAATTTTTTTGGTTGTTGGCTGCCGTATTAAAACTGGCGTTATATTTAGGGTCTTTAATGAGCGAAAGCGGTCTCCAGTCGGGATCTTTTCATGGTTTGGAGAATGGGTATGGATCAAATGACCTAGAATTATTTGAATAAAGCCCCGGTTGGATACTGCGCGCTTACCCTGTGTCCATTCCCCCGAATTTCGAGAGGTGAGTGATAGAATACCTGAAGTGAGTGGAGTTGGTTACAACAAACCCAATTACGACTCACCGAGGCCTCCACTCCTCCGATTGAGTGTCAACCCTAACAGATTGACGACTTCTCCGGAACTCGAGAGGTGGGCGATAGAAGACCTGTAGTGAGCAGAGTTCAGAACAACAAACCTAATTACGACTCACCGAGGCATCCACTATTCCAATTGAGCACCGACCCTGTACCCAATATGGACCTGAAAGGGAGAAGAGAGTGAGCAAACTAAGAGGCGATGGGTAGAGGCTTAATTCGGATGAAAAAGCCACGCACCTGTTTTGACCAATAACGGATCGCAGCCCGAACTGGTAGATGAGGAAGCCGAGGGGCACTCTACCGACCACCGCCATGCTCCTAAACCATGTCTAGTCCGGGCTCTGAATGGACTGCAGGTGGTACGTTTTGCTCCGGGAACCTGATAGGTTCAGCAATGCCACCGTGCTGTAGACAGACTCAGATGGCCAGAATGGTGTAGTGAACATTGACATCCCATTATCATTGTGCCTTTCCTCCTGTGCATCTCACTGTTTTATCACACCAAGGCCACCTCTTCGGTCGGCACGTGTTTACTTTCACTTTGCGCACGCTTGCTCACGCCTCTGTTTCTCTCTTGCTCTTCAGGTCAGTAACATACAAGCCGTGCTCCATTTCGTAAATCGTCTAGTTCTATTCTCTTACGAACCGACGTTTGCAACCTATACCAATTAGCTCGAGTTATCGATTACCTAGTGCCTACAAGGGTACCTGTTGTGTACCACCACCATATGAAGTGCCTCGGCAACCAGGGTGCTTGTGGTGCTTCGGAGCTACGAGATCACGCCTGCCCTGGAGCAGCGCGGTACAGTTTCTGGACATTGGTAGTCAGTCTACTTTGAGCGCTGATGCCAGTAGCACGTGCACAGCCTCCGGATACACGTCATCGGTGGGCCGTTCCAGCCAATCAGATACAATGCAGAGAAGAGCAATATGACGCTAGATGTGGTGCAATTTTATTGGTGGGAACTGAGGTAGCCAATGATCTTTTCTTGTGTACATATATATTCACTTTCATTTCCTTCATTAAACGACTTTGTGATTCGCCTATATTGTGGCCTTTTTCCTCGCGTCTCGATCTTGCAGGTTATTGCGAGTTCGAACCATTGCGGTCCAGTGCCATCGTTTTTCTAATTCGTGTTCCGTGATTCCTATTGCGGAGTTCGTGTCCTGAATTCTGTGCGTAACTTCACTACTACTACTTCCATTACCATTACAGTGCTATCGGCTCATTAGCATATCCTAATGTGTGTGTTTAAAGGTGAACACTGGAGACGCGATGTCCAATGAATGGAAGAGCATTCGGGCAACTCAGACAATGGACCCTCACCACCAATCTACTGAACCGGGGACCCCTTGAAATGATTTCACCTACCACACCATCCAATTTAGCTTACCTACTGCATATTCTCATAACTTTTCCACAAGCGTATTTTGCACCTTACTGGGTGTATACAAATGCAAGTAAAATTAGAAAACCTTTTAGTGTATAGCATTGCCTCGTCCCACTAATCTCTTGAGCTAGGTGCATAACT